AATCTGTATGATAGCAATATAAGAGAACAGAAATAGAATCACACTTTAGATATGATTAAAATTATGTTGCCATGAATACAAACTAATTTGTTTAATCTAAGATGTTAACTGTAATCCTTAAGATAAAGAGGTAGGGAATAAAAGACACACATGTGCGTTCACACGCGCGTGCACACACACACACACACTGGTAGGGAGTGGGAGGAATTTCATCAAGTTAATTAAAATGACATACTAGATAAAACTATTTCCATAAACAAATGAACAAAATAATAAATGTAAATCCTATATTATCTACATAAAATAATACTTTAAAATAAGCAAACTAAAAACCTCAATCAAAAAGGCATGAGAAGCTGCACCCATAAAGTCTCAATAATACGGTTCCCTAAACAAGACCTGCATGATAAAACCACCAGCTAACAAGCCAATGTTTGCAACATTAAATGGACTGAAGAGGTTTTGTAGAGAGATTCTGTCTCAAATCAAACAAAAAAAAAAAACCAAAAGAAAGCAGTATGCAACTGGCATAAAGCCAACATATATACCACCAAAGAGCCTAGAAATAAATTTTCATCCATATGGTAAATGATCTTTGAACAGAGTAGTAAGATTAGCCAGTGCAGAAAGAACAGTCTTCAAAAAAATGGTCCTGGGAAATCTCAATAGTAGCAAGTATACTATGAAACTGAAGCCTTATTTTATGCCATATGCAAAATTTACTCAAAATGGATCAAAGACCTAAACAGCAACACAAAGAATATAACAGCTCAGATGGTAATAAAGATGGAATGGCTCTTTAGTATTGGATTTGGTGCTGACTTCATAGATACGCTAACAGAAGCATAGATAAAAGAAAGAAAATGGCTAAGTGGTGGTGGTACACAACCTTAATCCCAGCATGCAGGAGGCAGAGGCATGTGGATCTTTGAGTTTGAGGAAAGCCTGGTCTGCAGAGTTCCAGGACAGCCAGGGCTACACAGAGAAACTCTGTCTCAGTAAAACAAAATAAAGAAAGAAAAATGAGAGAATTCTGTGCATTAAAGGAGACTATGAAAAGTTAAAAGCAGACCCAGAACAAGAGAAAATATTTACAAATCATGTATCTGAGAAATGGTTAATATCTATATACTTGAATGGATATTTATTCATAGAAGATACATGGTCAAACAGTATATGAAAAAAATACACAGCAGCATTAGGTAGGAAAATGGAAATTAAAAGTACAATGAGCTAAGTCACGCCTTTTAAAGTAGTAATTATCCAAAAAGAGAAAAAAACAAAAATAACATATGTTCCTGAGAATTTAGAAACGGGAACTTCTGTGCATTGCTGGTAGGAATGCAAAATGACAGTGTGTATAGAGAGCAATAGGGAGGTTCATCAAAAAGGAAACAGAATTATAAGATCCAGCAATTCCATTTCTATATATGTACAAAAAGAATGAAAGCAGATATCAAACATTTGTTCACCAATGTTCAAATCATCATTAGTCACAATAAGTACAAAATGGAAGTAACTGAAGTGTCCACAGATGAATGAATTGATTAAACTAAGCAGTATGTATATACAATGGAATATTATGCAGCCTTTAAAAAGGAATGGGATTCTGACACATGCAACAACATGAATCAGCAATGAAGACATTTATGCTAAGTAAAATAACCTAATCATAAAGGATAAATATCGCATGATTCTATTTATGTGAGGTACATAGAGTATTCAAATTCACAAAAAGTAGAATGGAGGTTGCTAGAAGGCAGAGGGTGTGAGGTAATATAAAGTAGTTTTTAATGAGTGTAACTTTAAAAGCTCTGGAGATGGATGCTGGCAATAGTTACAGAATAATGGATATACTTAACACCCCAGAAGTAAATACTTAAAAATGGTTAAAATAGTAAATTTGATCTTATGCATATTTTATCACAATTAAAAACATACTATGAGAATAAGATTATAAGCTCCAGACTGTTAAAAAAAAAAAGTTGTAACGCATATACCCTGTGGAGGACTGTGGTTAGCATATACAGAATAATCTGAAAAGTCAATAGGAAGGAAAAACAGTCCAATGAGAAAATGACAGAGACATGAACAGAAACCTTAACAGACAGAATACAATGATGGCAAACAAGCAAATGGAGAGATGTTCAGCATCATAGCCATTAAGAAAAGGCACAGTAAAACAACACCTGTCGGAACGATCACAATAAATGCTGACAAAGATATAGAGCAAGTGAATTCATACACCACTGGTTGGAATGCAAAATGGTACAGCCACTCTGGAAAATGGTTTGGCAGTTTCATATAAAGTTAAATGTGCACTTACCATATGACCCAGTAATCCCACTTCTAGATATTTACCTTAGAGAAATAAAAACTTATGTTCACACAAAAACCTGCACAAGAATGTTAATATCAATATCATTCATAAAGACCATAACCTGGAAAACCCAAATCCACTTCAATACGTGAATGGGTATGGAATATCCACACAATGAAATGGGACTCCACAAAAATGAATGAGTTATTGATATAAACAACAACTTGCATGAGTCTCAAAAGCATTATGCTGAGTGACAGAAGCCAGGCTCGAAATGATACACACTGCATGATTCCATTTATATGACAGTCTCTAAAAGGGAAAGCAGAAGTCATGGAGATAAGTGAGAGCCAGGGACTTGGGCGAGCAATGGGGGTGACTGTAACGGGATAGTATGAGGAGAGTTTGCGTGATGGAGCTGTTCCCTCTCTTGATTGTGGTGGTGGATACATGAAATCTACATGATTTACAATTCATAGAATTGTACACCAAAAGAAGGCCCCATGCAATTTTACTGTAAGTTCATTTCAAAATAAAATTCTACTTATATAATTATTACATCATCATCATCAATAGTTACATTGATTAATGATATTCCAAATTATCTGTGCAATGGGATCTAAAAACCAGCAAGATCAATGTCTGTCTGGTACAATAAAGCTATAGAAGTAAAAACAAAACTAAACGTAAAATCTTGACAACTCTGACTAACTCCTCTCTTTAATATTTCATATCAGGACATTATGTTCTCTCTGGATCATTTCCTATAAACACTGTCATATAGTGAATATGGAATTAAATAAGTGCTTAACTTAGAAGTCTGGAACCCTAGTTTACCATCCTAAATCTAACACTGTAAGAAAACTATCAACTTGCCTTTTGTGCCTAATTTTATCTTCCTCTTCATTGAGGTCATGTACTTGTCTGCACTTGTCTTTTTGTGGTATGCTGTGAAGGTTTAAAGCAAGGAGTTTCAAAGATAGCAAAGAGAACAGAGACAGACAGACACACACTCCCACTCCCACCCCCACCCCACTACCAGGTCCTGCTCTCATTTCCATGTGTTTCCTCACTTCCTCCTAACAACTCCACAGCATGGCTACAACTGATACTCTCATTTCCCAGAGGAAGCCACACTGAAGTATAGAGGGGTAAAGTGATTGCCACTATACTGCTAGTTAAGTGGGGAGTCAGGTCTGCCCCAGGCAGTCTGCTTCCAGAGCTGATGTTCACATTCAGTTTGCCGTGTCTACCCACAGAAAGCCATTCGCTCCTTCCTCCCTTTATCACATCTTTGCCACTTGCATAGCCTATCTCCACCATCCCATCCCATCACTTAGCATATCATAAAGCAGATGAGTGCCAGTCCCATAGACCCACTTCTGACTTTTCTCCTCAGCCCCACAGCTTCACTGCTTCATCAGAATCTGCATATCCTCACCCCACCGTCCTCACAAACTAAACCCGTTCAAATGAAACACATCATCCTTCCTCAAAACATTCACTAAAGACTTCATTTTACCAAGTATTAAGTTACACAGCCTCGAGATATGTGAGGTATCTTGCCATATTCCTGTCCACTCCATCCTTACTCAATGAGTCACCTCCTTCATCTTCAATTAATGGGTTGCTCAATTCTTCCAATGTCATAGCACATACAACTAATCCCACCTCTCAAGTCCACTGTCAGCATTCCAGTTGGGAAGTTGATAACTTGATGACTTTAATGCCACTCTCTTTTCTCTCTCTAATTCCCTTTACTGGCCACCACATTAATCATTTCCAAATCCAGTTTTTATCATCTTACTGTATTCAAATACATCAACTGAAGAAACTAACTCCATATACCTTTGTATTATCAAACAAATCAGAGCCAAGTATTCCTAGCTACCTTTGTAACCTGATCTCTTAAAATTCACCCAATTAACAGTGCTCTCAGCCAATTACTACAGCTGAAATGCTACTTCCTCTCTAATGGAAGCTTGAAAGAATATTTAGATCTTACCTCTTCTGAGAGGCCCTCTTCAGTCACACCAATAAAACTCTCAACTTCTGTAGCATTGAGCCATGTATCTATCATTACTCGTAAACAGTACATGTGGGTACCGCTAAGCTGACTAGTACAAGGCTAAGAACCACGTTCTGTGTACTGTACCTTTCACCACCATGCAGAATAAAATGATCTGCTAAACAAATTCTTTATGGTTAAGACACATACTGTATATGGACAGATTTTGCACTGTTTTACAGTTCAGCCTAAAGACTCATCATGATCTAGCTGTATTTCCCTGTCATGTATCAGACAACATACCTGATCATACCCTGTTTCAGTGCCACATTGAACTTCTCACTGTTCCCTACATAGACCAAGTCCTTTCATGGTATGGCTCCTAGCCACTCACTAACAGTAATGTCCTTTCCCTATTACATTAAAAAATGCCCATTGCCCTGTTAAGATAGTAAATCATTTATGTTCTATACCACCTTGGCATTTGATTAAACTGTCTATGATAACACTTTCCATGCTAGTAACTATACACATATTTGTATCTCTTGTGGGACTGCATATTTCTCAGGAGTAGTAACACCTTGTCTTTCACTAATTCCCCATATCTAATGGCCTGATGTTAAATCTTTCTTCCAGTTAAAGAAGATTTCAGAGTCAGTGAAGATCCCATACCTTGGTAATAAAGAGCCTTAAGGAAGGAGTGACGATCAGTTCCCTGAAATAAAGACTTTTCAATTTCCATTTCTCTTCTGGTCAGCTGTTTGCTCTTTGAAAACCTCTGTGGCAAGCAAAGGATGCGCTGGCGTTCTGAGATCCTTTCTTTAATATCTTCAAGCCGTTTCTGTATTGCTTCAGGAGTTGCCCTCAACTTTGTCCTCTGAAAGCAGGGAAATAAGATGCTTAACATAAAAAAGGACACAAACATGAATCTGAGACCTCACATAAGAAAGATGAGAAAGACCCAGAAATTGGAAGTGTTTACAGAAGTTTTAGTTAAGGGCTAATCAACAGCTTCTCTTTAGCCAATGTTTCTATCTTAAAAACCCAACACTCAGTCTTATGAAAACTCAGAACAAAGAGGTTCTCAATGACAAAATGAAGCAACTACTATGTTGGAGAGTTCAGTTGTACCTGCTTGCTGATGGTTTCCACGCCCAACATAGAGGCACAGAATTGGGCATGAGATTTATCTCCCGAGTATCCTGCTGTTCCCTATCAACTGGCATAAATGAAAATAAAGAAAAATTATTACGAAAACAGCCTATTTACCTTTTCACCTGAAACATGACTTTTCCAGATCAATATTTCTGTTTCATTGAGCCCTAGTTCCCTGAGAGAAGCAGTTTCCTGGTCTTTTTCATGTAGTGTCTGGAACTGGGACAAAGTCATTGTCCCAGCTGCTTCCTTCCCAAAGGGCTTATACATAGTCCCAGGGGCAAAGCTCTTTTTCTTAGAGACGCATCTGCAAAACACAAAAGAAGCAAATAAGAACATCTTGTGGTTGAATTCACAGTGATGGGACCTCCTATTAAAACAGGTCCAATGAAGCTCACAGGCAAAGTCTCTCTTCCATTTTATTGCTTAGGTGAAGCACCATGGCAACAAAACGGAATTGTCCCACACATCCAGGAGTAAATTAACAAATGTTAACTGAGTACATGCTATACATTACATGCTGTGTTCTGTTCTGAGAGTTCACAGTTTAAAGAAAAAAATCAATGGGCTACGAGAGATGGCATAGCAATTAAGGGCTCTTATTGCTCTTGCACAGGACCTAAGCCAGTTCCTAGCATTCACATGGCAGGGCCACAACCACCTGAAAACCTAGTTCCAGGGGATCCAAACCCCTCTGGCCTCTGCAGGCACTGGCACAGATTGGGTTCACATAAACTGAGTCCTCTACCTCCCTCAATCTCTCCCAGTCCCACATACACACAAAATAAATCTTCTATAAAAATATCAATCTATACAAAATCTATACAAGAAAGAACTTCTACCTATATAAAGAATAGTAGAAAGGAAGCAAACTAAGTAGGAAATGACCATATAGAACTATAAATGCCATGTTAGGGGAAATACAGGGTGCTATAGTGGGACACAGCAAAAGTAGTTAACCTGGGCTTAGTACAATATACACTCAAACTTCCTACAAAAAGACACAAAAGCAAAATCTGATTTTGCCTGAAGAGGTCTTCTGAAGAAAGTGGTTGGGTGAGAGAAGCGTGTCCCCATCAAGCTTTAAGAGGGCTAGAAAACCCGCAGGTGAGGGCCTATTATAATGTTTACAAATCAATACCCACTCTTCAATGGAGACAGAGGTATCAAGTTGATGTTGAAGGAGGCTCTTCAGCTGCCTCTCACCTTCTGTTTCCAGTTCCTCCAGGACATGCTCTTCATCCTTCACACAGCTATTTACCCTGGAACAGATGTAAAACAAAAACAAAATCCATAGGGAAAGTAGAAGACACATAAAGTCTGAAAATATACCCCCCATCTATATTACCCATCAGCAATCCATTTGTTCAATGACATGTCTTCAACATTCTACTACCCTGAGTACACAATAGGCACTGTGCTAGCTACTTGAACTGGCTAGTTTTATGTCAAACAACACAAGCCGGAGTCATTTTGGAAGAGGGAACCTGAATTGAGAGAATGTCCTCACCAAACTGGCCTATGGGCAGGCCTATGGTGCAGTTTCTTGATTGATAATTGATATGGGGGGGGCACACTCAATATGTGCAGTGCCACACCTGGGCTGGTGATGCTGAGTGCTATAAAAAAGCAGGCAGAGCAGACCATGAGGAGCAAGCCCATAAGAAACACCCCATCCATGTCCTCTGCATGAGCTCTTGCCTCCAGGTTTCTGCTCTGAGCTCCTCCCCTTACTTCAACTTCTTGATGGAGTGTGACCTGGGAGCTGTAAGCTGAGTGAACCCTTTCCTCCCCAAGTTGGTTATGGTCACGGTGTCTTTCCACAGTAGTAGAAAAGTTAACTAAGATACTACTTGTAGAAATTCAAGATATTCTAGGCATAGTTTTGATCAAGGAATTTGTAATATATTTAGGGAGAAGACATATATCCTCTTGTGTTCTGTGCATGTGCCTATAGACAGAGGGAATCTGGGCTGGAGAGATGGCTCAGTGGTTAAGAGCACTGATTGCTCTTCCAGGGGTCCTGAGTTCAATTCCCAGCAACCACATGGTAGCTCACAACATGGGATCTGATGCCCTCTTCTGGTCTGTGTAAAGATAGCAACAGTGTACTCATACATAAAAAAAGTAATAATTCTTTTAAAAAAGAGGGACTCTAAATAAATAATAATACAGAGATATGCTCAAATTAATGAAAGTTTGCAGAAGAAAGAGGTAAACTTGGAGCTAAAGTGGTAAAGATGATTTCAGAATGGTATTCTTAAAATTGAATTTGAAAGATTTGGCATGACAAAGAAAAGGAGAAGTGGGAAAGCAAATATAAAGAGACAGCCTGGGCAGTGGTGGCACACGCCTTTAATCCTAGCAGAGGCAGAAGCAGCCTGGTCTACAGAGTGAGTTCCAGGACAGACAGGGCTACACAGAGAAACCCTGTCTCGGAAAAAAAAAAAGAGAAAAGAGAAAAGAGAAAAGAGAAAAGAGAAAAGAGAGAGAGAGAGAGAGAGAGAGAGAGAGAGAGAGAGAGAGCCCACAATTGTGAGATAACTGAACCTCTATTTAGATTCTCGATTTGAATAGCCTTAAATACATGAACTAAAGGATTCTGGACCAGACCTGAGTATATAGGTATTAGAAAGCTAGGAAACTATTGAGGTATATGGCAATTAAAGGCCAGACTAAGGCAGTAATAGAAATACAAAGGAGGGATTCGACTGGAGAGGCCTTTAAGAGAAGGATGTTAATAAACCAAAACAAACAGACATATAAATAAAAACACTCAAATTTTGAACTGTACAGCTTGACAGAATGTTGGTATGAAGGAAGGAAAATGTTTCCAGATGGAATAAATGCCTAGGAAGCGGAAAGTCAGTGTCACTAATACCTACAAAGGTGAGCAGCTCTTAGAACTCTGAAACCCTTGCATGAAACTTCCAAGGCACTGGTCTGAAGCAACAACAAACAGGACTGGCTAAAATTCTTACCAGGAGGACAGTCTGAGGCTCAACACAGAGGAATCTGAAGCCATCTGAGGACATAAGATCTGAAGCCATTAGAGAAGAAATTCTGAAGAAGGGCAGAAAATATGAAGAGTGTCTTGTCTTACCAACTTGCAGCCTAGACACTACAGTGTAGAAAATTGGATCATGGCTATTAGCCAACATCAAGTGATTAAGAACTCTTATTCAAGTACCAAGAAATAACACAACCATTTAACCAGGTAAGAACAGAGTAGAGACAAATGAACAAACAGAAAGGTGAGTTCAATTTGTGAGAATAAAAATATTGCATTTCTTACAAAACAGACCTGTGTACTGGGGTTTATAATAAAGTATAGAAAATCCCTGTAATTATAAGATTCCTTAAAAAGAGCTGGACCTATATTGAAAAATTCTAAACTAACTTTGGAACTAAGTTTTTAAAAACCTCACAAAAAAAAAACGAAACCAAAACAAAAAAGCTGGGCTGTGGTGGCGCACGCCTTTAATCCCAGCACTTGGGAGGCAGAGGCAGGCGGATTTCTGAGTTCGAGACCAGCCTGGTATACAGAGTGAGTTCCAGGACAGCCAGGGCTATACAGAGAAACTCTGTCTCGAAAAACCAAAAAAGCATAGTGACATACATGCCTCTATAGAGAAATACTGTGTTTTTAAAAAAGCTTACCACAGAAAAAGACATTATATTCCCATTTATATAAGGTTAAAAAACAGATGAAACTAGGAATATTTTGTTTAGGGATTAAACTCATTTGTGGGAAATGAACTAAGAAACAATAAACAACAAATAAACAAAAGGCAAAGGAATAATTGGTGCAAACTCCCAGACAGAAGGGGGAGAAGCAATCAAAGAGCCAAGGGGGCTTCTAAGGTATGTATGTGAATCATGTCCTACCTCTTAATCTGTATAGCATACAGCCCTTTTTATGATCACCCAACTTAGACACTAGATTCATTTTTCATGTATGAGTTATCTCATCACAGGATAATTAAAATAATTAAGCCAGAGGAAACGTAAAAACATGACAAAACAAAAAAGAAAACAAACAACAAAAATCTTTAAAAAAAAAAATTCTAGGCAACTAGGAATGCAGGAGAAAGCATTCCTAATCAGGTTCTTTGTACCATTGTTCCAGAGTGAAGATTCTACTGCAGAGTGAATGCAAAACTAACTGGATCCTTTCTGAAGGTTTCCTGTCCTGTGAGGAAATGTGAAGCTCTGGGTGTTAATGAGGACCACCCCAGGCTCAAAGAGCCATTTACTGCAGAACCGGTAGGGGAAACTGCCCCGAAGCAATGCCTTTCTTCTCCCAAAGCACGTGGAGCCAGTTCTGTGCTCAATTTGGAGAAACAAACTATCACTCTCTAACTTTAAGATCTGAAAGCATACCCCGTGTGCTGGGCCCACTATGTCTTTAAAATCTAGACAACGTAAGTGCCCACCCTATGTCCCCCTGGCGGGTGAGACCCAGCAGGACGGGCGGTCCAGGGAGGGGCTGACTTGTGCATCCGGAGAGCCAGGAATGTGAGAGGCCAGGCAACTCCAGAGGCCTCTGCCCCCGAGGGAAACATTCCTGTGGAAACCCGCCTGGCTGCGGCCCTTCCAGAACTTCACCCCAGCAGACTGGTCCGGTGGCCTTCCCTCCTCCCTTCTCCTTTGTCTTCTCGCTGGAGATAACCCGCCCCCTCAAGAATGTGATACATCTCAAACAAAAGGAAACAAAAAAACAAAATGTTCAAAGTAAATGATAAAAGTTGCCTTCTGCAACCCGGATATGACCTTACCTCTTCATGTTTCCGCAGGCCCCTGTCACTAACTTGGGTAAATAGGAACCAGACCTCAACTCCCAGAAATCTGCGCGGCAGACTGAAAGGTGATGAAGATGGGAGCGTGGAACTCTGGGAATTGTAGTAACACAGAACTATGTGATGCTGGAAAGAGAAAGCAGGTATTGGGTGATGGATACATTGGTGGCCCACGCCTTTAATCCCAGCAGTTGGGAGGCAGAGGCAGAAGTTCAGAAGAGAACTTCTGAGTTCGAGGCCAGCCTGGTCTACAGAGTGAGTTCCAGGACAGCCAGGCTTACACAGAGAAACAGGACAGCCAGGCTTACACAGAGAAACCCTGTCTCGAAAAACCTAAAATAATAATAATTAATAATAATAATAATTATTATTATTAATTATTATTATTGGCCCAGGTTAAAGATAACATCCAAAATATAAAACTCATTAACCTAGGATTCACCTTTAGGTCTTTCTCCAAGTATCAATAAAACCTAGGTTGTTTCTAATCACCTTTGTTCTTGTAGGCAAGGCTTCTCTTTAAAGGATTTATCTGAACTACCTGCTGTTTCCAGTCAAGCCTCTGGTCTGACCACATTGCTTGCACTAATGCTTCTCTCTTAGTTGTAACAGATCCTTCTGGGTTCCCTTATTCTAAAGCAAGAAGCAGTATGTACCCAGGCTTTTGAATATCTTATCAAGAGTCAGATGTGGTAGGAGTTGGAGAGATGGCACTTGTTTCTCTTTCAGAGAACCAGAATTCAGTTCCCATGCAGCAGCTAGCAATAGTCTGTAACCTGAGTTCTGAGCATCCCACTTGTTTCAAAAGTGTTTAAAAGCATTGGTTCTTGGGTTTAGAGATGTAGTTCAATCTGTAGAGTGCTGGCTTGGCATGCACAAAGCCACTTGTTGGATCCTCACCACCACACAAACTGGGAGTGGAATGCATGTTCTGATAGGCACAGTCCAAAGCCAGCCTGGATTACATGATAACCAATTTAAACGATAACAACAACATGGATAACAAAAACAATAAAAGTATGTATTCTTAATGACTCAAAATGGAAATGCAAGTATCTCTAAAGATAGAAAAAGGCATTAATTTATAAGGTGGAAATTTCAACCTACAAAGTCCATTTAATTACATAGTTCAAAGCAAGTCAGGTCTACATAGAGATTCTCTTTAATAAACCAACAAAAAAAAAACCAAAAATATAAAACAAAGGAGAACTATTACTCCTCCAAACTATAAAAGGTAAGGAGAAAATTCTGAGACTCTGTCACATTTATGAGGAAACAAGAGAAACATGATTTCTAAATGTATTGTGGGATCCTGAAACAGACAGAGGACACATGATAAACGCTAAGCAAATGTAAATAGAGTATACTTTTTATTTAATACGTTTCATTAGACATGACAACTATACTGTTGTGTAAGATACACACACTAAGAGAACTAGTGAAATATATATGGAACACTTGAGTATGAAGTGTTAATGTAAATCTAAAACTATGTTAAAATAAAACATGATTTTTGAGATCTATGGTTTTGTACATTTTGGCTAATATCCACTTATTAGTGCATACATACCATGCATGTCCTTTTGGGTCTGAGTTACCTCACTCAGGATATTCTCTAGTTCTATCCATTTGCCTGCAACACTTAGGATGTCCTTGTTCTTAATAGCTGAGTAGTATTCCATTGTGTAAATGAACCACATTTTCTGTATCCATTCTTCTGTTGTGGGGCATCTGGGTTGTTTCCAACTTCTGATTATCGCAGACAAGGCTGCTATGAACATAGTGAAACACGTGTCGAAGGGCCCAGGTGAGGATGCCTTAATCCCACTTGGGAGGAAGAAGAAAACAATCACAGGAGTGGGGAGGGAGAGAGGGACCTGGGTGGGAAAGAGGATAGAGAGGGGATGAGGGGAACATAATCAAGTATTGGGTTGGCAGAACAGGACTGAAGCCCTGAGGGCCAGGAGAAAGAATGGAAACAGGGAACCACGGGAGGTAAGAGATTGGGGGAACCCTCCAGAATGCACCAGAGACCTGGGAGGTGAGAGACACTCAGAAGTCAAAAAGAGGGACCTTAGATGAAGTGCCCTACATTGGGGAGAAGGAACTTGTAGAGCCCACCTCCGGTAGAAAGACAGGGCATCAAGTGAGGGATGGGGTTGCCATCCCACAGTCAAAAACTCTGACCCAGAATTGTTCCTGTCTGAAAGAACTGCAGGGACAAAAATGGAGAAGAGACTGAGGAAAAGGAGGTCCACCAACAGATTCCATATGGGATCCAGCTCGAGGGGAGGCTCCAAGGCCTGGCACTATTACTGAGGCTATGGAGAGCTCACAAAAAGGGACCTATCTTGACTGTCCTCTGAGAGACCCAACAAGCAGCTGAAAGAGTCAGATGCAGATATTTGCACCCAACCAATGGACAGAAACTGCTGACCCCTGTGGTTGAATTAAGGAAAAGCTGGAAGAAGCTGAGGAGGAGGGTGACCTTGTAGAAGGATCAGCAGTCTCAACTAACCTGGACCCCTGAGATCTCTCAGTCAGTGGACCACCAACCAGGCAGCATACACCAGCTTATGTGAGACCCACAACACATATACAGCTGAAGACTGCTGGATCTGGGGTTCAGTCAGAGAAGATGCAACTAACCCTCAAGATCCTGGAGGCTCCAGGGAGTGGGGAGATCTTGTAGGGTGGGAGTGGGTGGTGGGGACACCCTCATGGAGATGTGGGGAAGACATATGAGATGTGGAACAATCAGAGGATGGACCAGGAGGGGGAATAAAATCTGGACTGTAAAAAGAAAGATTAAATAAAATTAAAAAACTTTTGATTTTTTTAAAATCCTAAATAGCATATTTAGTATCCTAAATAGCATAGTGCAGATATATATTTTTTACTTAGAACTTAGGAAAGGCTAAGCACTATCCATATTGCTGGTAGGAGGTAAATTGGTACAACCTCTAATAAGTGAAACTTGATGTCACTATTGAAATTGAACACATCTACAAATAATATCAGCAATATAACAAATCCCTAATCTATGTGCATTACTGCTCAATTACTGTGTATAACAGAATACTGTGGTGGGGAAGGTAAAGCTTAATTATCCAAATCCGCTCAGTGAAGTCTATATAATGATGCAAAGGTGGTAAAGTCCTTTGTATTACAATTCTGAAAAGATAGCTAGTAAAATAGCAAGCTTCAGAATAACATATAGTATATTTGCATTTGTGTAAAAGGTGGAATATACATGTGCCTGCATATGCATGTGATATTTCTATGAGAACATATGACAGTGTCCCCAATTAACAGAATTCAATGATTAGGGGACAAGAACAGGGAAGAAATACAGCTCTTTATATGTTTTGTCCCTATTAAAATTGTTGTGATGAGACAGGGTTTTGTATGTAGTTCAGACTGGCTTTTAACTACTGATATTCCTGCCTGAGCCTCCCAAGAATTGGGATTGCAGGTGTGTGCCAAACATACTTTTACACCCTTTGGATTTTTAACTGTATTAGTGTCTCACCTAATTGATTATTTTTTTAATTAAATAGAAATGTTCTTATATCAGGGGCCAGGTTAAAAAAAATATCTTGTAGACTTTGGGGTTCGTACGACTTGGGTTTAGGTTCCAGTTCTCAGTTACTGACAATATAGCATAATAGGGTTTTGCACTAATCTGGATGTTAAAATGTTGTTTTGGTTAAGTTAATGGACTATGAATTTTAACAGACATCCTGCGTATCAGATATTTGCATTACAGTTCATAACTAGCAAATTTACCATTGTGAAGTAGCAAGGAAAATCATTTCATTTATGACGCTCCCTGCCCCTGGGGATCTTGGGCCGACATCAGTCCACAAGGGCAAAGGGAACAGAGGGTTTGGAAGCTCTGTGAGTACATACGGAAATGACGTGGATCAGCTGTGCGGGGAGAGGAGGGGGTCAGAGGGAGGGGCGCACATCAGCTTTACTTGGTGTGATCCAAGGCTTTTATGGTTTTGGGGACAGGGGTAGGAGTATCCGGGATGGACAAAGGACACAGGCTGTTAAGGTAATAAGATGCCTCCTTAGCCTGGAGAAGCACTCCAGGAATCTCAGGTGCTAGGTCACTGGTTTCTTATCAGGAGAAAGGAAGTGGAACCGGTACTCTTAACCTAGGGCACATGACATTTTACAGGTAGCAGCATGGGATGGGAGGTGGGGGGGTGGGGACAAGGTCAGAGAAGGTGAAATCCAAAGAAAGGATTCCTCCACATCACACCTAGCTCAGACAATGGTAGACTTCAACCTTAAAGAGCAGGATTTTCCTGCATTTATGGCCCAGGGTCACCACAATATGAGGAATTGTGTTAAAGGGACAGACACGGCATCAGGAAGCTTGCGAACCACTGCTTCCGAAGAACAGGAAACAGTTACGCTGTGTTATTGTAAAGCTTTTCGAAGACATTTAAATATCCCAAGGTTATCCAGTAAGTTCAGACTTGCTCAAACTCCCTGATACTGTCCTGTTCGAGTCAGCAAAAGACCAAATTGCAGCTACTGAAACAAAACAAAAGTTTTATTCCTTTGTACTTCCCGAGAACTTCTAAGCAAGTAGATTTAAAATATCATGGCACATGTTAAAGTTATCTGCAATCCACCAAATGAAAATGTCAGTGCTCTAGAAGCACACTAGTAAATAAATGCAAACACACATTGCTTTGTAGTTCTGATGTAGAATAAAGATTGAGTTTAAGTATAAACAAATTGTAAGCCACATCAGTCTGTGAGTTAGGCATATTTTTTTAAGGTGGTGGGACTTAACAGGGGTGCTCAGCCAAACTGTACACCTGACAAAATTTGTGAATAGGGAAATGGAACACATGCCAAGGTTGATAGTGTGCTTGACTTCGTGGAAGGATGGAGCGTTTTATCATCATAGTAAATTTGTCTAGTTGTAATAAAACAGTCTATTGATACTGGAGTGATACACACACTACATAACAAAT